AAAAAATATTTATATATATATATACATATATTATAAAATATAACATAAAAAATGTATTGAGAAACACACAAAAGAAAAAAAAAGGATTTAAAATTAAATTTAAAAAATAAAAGAAAAAAAAAATCAAATATGAATTTTAAGAAGCAGAAAATAAAAAATAATTTATGCAACCTATACTGTTGAATTTTTACTTTTAATTACTAAATAATTAAAACAAATGCAAAATAAAACTAAATAATTTTAATTCTATTATTTCTTAGTGATAAATTTTTCTTTTTTAAATCAATTATTTTTCAATATATATAGCATGTATTTTATTTTGATCATTCACAAATCAATATGCACACATATAAAAAAAATAGTATTCTTAAAATTTAAAATTGTTTCCAAAATATTTATGTTATTTTTTAATACAAGAAGACATTGAACACGTATTTACGGAAGATGACCCCTAACAAAAATTGTGTAAATAATTTCTTATTTTTTCTTATTACAAATTTACTTTGAAGAGAATAATTCCCATAAAATATTTCAATGTTTTGAGATTTCAAGACAAATATTTTAAATAAAATAAATAAAATTAATTAAAATCATAATTAACAGCCTACATCATTTTGGAAACAATTTAAAATTTTCATTTTACTATTCAAATAAAGGTACAATTCTCTTGTTAAATAATTAATTGATCCTTATTAATATTTATCTCTTTTAATTATATGTACAATCAAAGTTATAACTTTATAGCATACAATCCTTTAAAAAAAAATAATATATAAGTATATAAATTATATAATATGATAATAAAATGTGAAAAATAATTTGATTTATACAACTAAAATATACCACGCATAACTAAACAACCAAATAGGAAAAAAATATTTTTTTTTTCATTGAAAGAAAAAAGTAAAAAGAAAATGTTTAGGCATACATAATAAAATAATATTGATGGAGAAATATGTAAGAGAATTTAAAAAAAATTTTAGTTATTATGAAATTTAATTTGTTATAAAAATTATTTTTATTCGATTAAAAATATGTTTTTTTGTAATTTTAGAAATTAAATGTAAATTAAATTAAACGTAAAATCAATTTCATAATATATACTCAAAAAGAAAGTAAACATCCATTTGATTTTTTAAACAAATAAGAAAATATCAAAAAAAAAATTAAATTTTACGAAATTAAATTAATCACTTAAGTTGATTTTTGTCTAGAAAAACTGAGTTAACAAGCTTAATATACTGATTTTATGCTACTTTGCATTAACAAGTCAATTAAACTATAAGTGACATCTGGTGATGGAATTGTATTTGGCAAAATTATCATTAATGCGCGATTAATTGTCGACCCTATTTTAAACAAGTGTCAGCTCGAACTTATTTTAAATTAAACAGATAAAAATTTCGTTGTAACATAGCATGTACATCAAAAAGCATAATGAATATTTAAATCAAAATTTCAATATAGACTAATTCATTAGTCTATATAAATCTCGCATTTATATAAACTAATGAATTTACACAAAGAAAACTTTAAAGTTATTTCTTGTATATGCAGAAATTCAAAAAAAGAAGTGAATTAGGGATAGTCAGTATTAAGATATTAAATTTGAAAAAAACAAAATAAATTTTTAAATCACAAAAATTAATTAATAATGATACAATTTTTTTATTAATTTGCATTCCATATATTTTATTTATTTTGCTTACTTGAAATTTACTTAAAATTTTGCAACATTTTTTATAATTGTACAACCTGCAGCATGTTGGAAACCATTTAAAATATTTTTTTGCTTTAAGAGTATTTTACAAGAGTATTTAGAATGGTTTTGACACTGTTTTAATTAAATAAGCTTGCTATAGGCTTATTTACTGCAAAAGAGTATTTGTAATTAATAATTCTGTATAAAACACCAAATATTTTACTTACTCCATTATTCAATTCACCCTCAGTACAATGACCATGTAATAGTAATCACCCTTTATATTTGTGATGACATCAAACAATTTTTAAATATCAAAATCTTTTATTTGATTAATTTAATTTCTAAAAAATTATTTAACGCAACTCAATGCGTTTCAATATTGAAATTGATTTTAATTATAATAATTGCAAATTAGTAATTATTTTGTGTTAAAATAATAATTTATCTTTTTGTTACCTATTTATTTATTTTAAGATATATGAAATTTAAGTTTACTAATTAACTAACAAAAAAAAAATAAAATTACTAAAACATATTAAAAATGAATAAATATAAAATTAAGCTTTTAAATTTAGACGTCTAAAAATGAAGTAAAAGATTATTCCAAAAAAAAAAATTAAAAATTAAAAAATTTAAAAAAAAATTAAAAATATGAAATTACACTTGAAATAAAAACTTTATTATTCAATAAAAATACATATTGCAAAATTAAAAAAATTAACAAAATTCACAAAATTCAAAACGAAACAAAAATAAAAATGGAAATACTGTATGTATGTTTAACGTGCAAAATTTAATAATATTGTATAAAATATATAGAAAATGAAGATGAAAACCAAATGAGAAAAAATAACCAAAACTTTACTGTTTAGAATAAAAAGGAAACTGACGAGAAAATTATTTGAAAATACTAAAAAACTTGATTGTAAAAAAAAGAAAATAAAATGTTAAAAATCCAAAAATTGACGAAATTTAAAAAATAAAAACTTTGAGAATATAAGAAATAAAATTGAAAATAAATAAAGACTTTTCGAAAATAATAATTGTATTTTGAAAAAAAAAAAAAAATTATACAAAAAGAAAACCAAAATGAAAAAAAAAGAATAATGTTATACCTTTGAAAACAAGCAAAATTAATAATGATCTATATGAGAGTTAAACAGTTTCCATAAATGTAGCCAACATTAAATAAACAAAATATTAAATCACATCCTTATACTTACCAATATGATTCCTCTTTTGAACACCATCAAATTAATAAATAATATAATTAAAAAAATCAATTAATATGTTCATATGAGCTTTTCACAACAAGAACGCTACAAATTGTTTTCAAGTAATAATAACAGTTTGTTTCGTAAAATTTGGAAGAAATTCATCAAAAATTTTAAAAAATCATTCATAATTAAATTAATGAAAATTTTTATCACTTTATATTATTTATTAATTTTATGGAAGAATAATTAAATAAAAGAATTAAGAATATTTAATTAAAAACTGGAGGGAATCAATATATTTTGGCACAATTTAGTATTTCAAAATATAATATTTAATTTTTTTTTTTTGGTGCTTATGGAACTGATGATGTATTTAATGAACATATAGATTATTAGAAAAGCGGTTTAACTTTATTAACATTTCTGGAACAATAAACGTTTAACGTACATGCAATAAAAATATTTAAGGTAATAATTCTTACATATATAATGGAAAAGATAAACAAAACAAAAAAAACCCTTTTTTTTTTAATAAAATTTAAGAAAACAAAAAAACAAACAAAAATACCAAAAAAAAATATTAAGAAAAATATTAAGAAAAAAAAATATGTTAGATATTACATTATAACACGTCATCTACCTTATTCCATTCCTTTAACTTCTGCATTTCACATATAAATTAACATGTATTCGTACAACATAAAAAATATATACAATTTTTTTAAGCTGTAATTAAGTTTTTAATATTTTTTTATAAAACAAAAAATACTCTTAATATATATACATATGTATACTTAAATATACATATTTATAACTACATAAGTACCCATATACTATTTTTTTAGTTATTTTATAAAACTTTTAAAAAAAGTTATAATCTATTTTTTTCAGCATTTTTTTAATAATTCAAAATATTCTTAAAATATTACATAAGAATATTAATTTTCTTATATTAAATACTTATATATGAGTATATTTTTTTTTTTTTTTGGTATTCATTAATAAATTATACAAAAAATATAATAACAAATATTATAATATATTTCTGTTATATAAGCTTATGTATGTAGCTATGTATAATTAAATTTACATATGTACATATATATGCATATAAATGTATTATCTATATCCCGGAAAAATTATTTTAGAAATTAAGATTTAATAATATTAATAAAGAAGAAAAAAAAAACAAAAATTTAAATTAAACAAAAATTATTAAAAATATGTTTAAAATCCAAGAAGAAAACAAACAAAACGTTTTGGTCACATGAAAAACAGTAAAAATTAAATAAAAAAAATAGAGGAAAAAATAGACATAATTCGAAATATATATATATATATATATATGTATATTATACAATATACGATATAAATAACCTTATATATTGTGTACAAGAAATTTGATGAAATAAAGAAATGGAATCTTGTAATATAAAACAAAAAAAGAAATTTTTTTCTATTGATGTGAATTCCTTTCACACATACGTATTTCTATTTTAAAAAAAAATTTTTTTTTAAAGTTTAAGATTTAAGAGCTCCAACAATTTTATAGATTCTATGGGTTCCAAAACATTGAAATATGTTTAAATTTATTCCCTTAGTTCTTGAATTTTAAATCTTATTTAAATCATTCGCAGTTAATCGCAACAAATAAATAAATTCGATTCTACCAAAATTAGTCTCTGAAATATAAGATAAAAAAATGTTTTTTTTGACAAATAGTTTGCATCATCATGTACTTTTCTTTTTAGTTTAAAAACCAGTTATAGGTAATAGATATTATATTATTTTAAAATAAAAATTATTTTCCATTTTTTATTTCTTAAACAAAGAAAATTATGTTTTCTCATACAGCTCCGGTTGTTGAAAAATTAATAGAAGTACAATATCCTTAATTTCTGAGAATCATTATAATTAACAAAAAAACCGTGTTATCTAAATTATAGAAGAATCTATGTAGGTACTATTCAAATATTATTATTTGATAAAAGTTGAAGGTATTATATTTTGTTTTTATTCCATAGAATTTGAGAGCTCATTTGTAGGGTGAAGCCTAAAATTTTATTAAAAGAAATTAATATGTGAAAATATCTTTTATTCTAGGATTTAAAAAATATAATGAATTATTATATTGATTATCCATGAAAAACTATAAAATCATTTATTTCTTTATTCAATCATTATCACTATCAGTTTTTTCGTTTTTAAGAAAGCTATCTAAATTATCTAACACTCTTGTCGCTTTTTTTAATTTTTTAGCAATGATTTTATCTTTACATTTCATTTTACTAATTTTCCCATTTTTTATTTTTTTATTCTTTTTATTTTCTAGACCTTTTAATTTCTTGTCTACAGGGTTTTCGAAATCATGCTCTATCATTTGGTCATCTGCCACTTCTTTTTGATTTTCTCTTCTTTCAAATATATTTTGTTCTGTTTCAGTTATATTTTTTTCGTTATCAAAACTCATGTTATTTTCTAAAGATTTAAAATTAAATTTATTACGTTTACTTTTACGATCTTTCTTAATATTTTTCGAATTATTAGACAGCTTGAATTTTTTATCGCCCTCATTAGACTCCTTACTTTTGTTAATTTTTTTTGTAATTTCAATATTTTCCACTTTATCCGATAAATTTTTGTCTATCATTTTTTCCTTCTTCTTCTTTTTTTTGGATTTATTGGCGTATTCATTTTTATATAAAATTTCATTTAGTGTACTCAAGTTTTCATCTTCAACCATTTTAGAATAAGTATCTTGGTTATTTTTTTTATTTTTCTTAGTAGTTACTACGGTCCACTCACTTTCATCGCTCTCCATTTTCGTTAAATTCTCAGTTTTGCCTGACATTTTTTCTAACAACCTTTCCTCTTGTTCTTTAAGTCTTTCCAATTTCCCTGCTAAATTCAATCCATGTCTCGCACCTTTGTGTGCTGTTCTGCCACCACAAGCAGCAAAAAGTTCCTCGTCAGTTAAAGTCTTAAATTTTGGTAAATCTAAATCTTGAGCATCAGTTTTATTTGGGTCTTCAATCTCACATCCCATGTTTGTTAAGGTAGCTGACTTCAAAAAGAAATTATAACCTGCAGAATTTGTTTTGGCTTTTAATTTTTTCACTGAATAATTTTTAGTAGATATCTGTAATTAATTTTAACACCACTTATTATATTCTTTAATGAAATAAAACAGGCCACTGTGTGTATACCTCCACTGGGTCATTTTTATCAGTATGTAAAGATATTTGATTTATGTCTTCTTTAACTTTAATATTATTGGCTGCTTGATTATAAACTCTTTGCCACCAGTGATTATTAAATTCGGCTGCTTTATCAACTCCAAGACCTGTTGTATCGAATTTTAAATGTGCATTTAATGGTTTATTTATGCCGCTCTTGTTCTTGCCCAAACCTTCGCCTACATTTAAAAAAATTATTTGTAAACGTATATTTTTATTAATTGTTTTTATCGCACCTTCATTCCATCCATATTTTTTCATCATTTTTTTGGCGAAATCCATTATAAGCTTTTCTTTAATTTAGAAAAAAATCAAATATAAATACAATACCTACAAATTTTAATCAAACCATGTGTTTGATCTTTGATGTTTGTTTATATTTACAATATAAAATATTCCTTTTGACATGGATGTCATATTTCCTTTATCAAATTTGTGTAATCGTTCAGAATATTGAAAATAGTTTTAATTAAAATATTTCGCTATAATCTAATTTGGTAAAACTTTTTCTTTTCGCTGTAAAAAACCAAAAGTAAAGGATTTCTTTTGATTTTTCAATTAAATGTCAATGAAAGAGCTTTAAATTTTCAATTTCAAGAAATTAAATTTTCAATTCTTGTTCTATAAATCCCTCCACGAGAAAAAAATGAAAGAATAATTCAAGTAAATTTTAATTCCTTACCATCAGCTGTTTACATTTCTTTCGGATATAAAGTTGAGAATTTGTGTTCATGTATATGTTGAATAATTTATTATAGTTTCATATGTCAATATTAACATAGTGTTATTTGTCAACTATATTGGCATGATGTTAGTTTTTTCAAGTTTGAAAAAACTAACGAAAATATGACATCAATGTCAAAAGGAATATTTTATATTGTAAATATAGACAAACATCAAAGGTCAAACACATGGTTTGACTAAAATTTGTAGGCATTATATAATTATCCCAAGAGAGGCATTATATAATTATCCAAAAAGAGAAATTAAGAGAAACAATGACGTAATTTCTCGCAAAAAGAGAAAAAATTCGCATTTAAAAAAAAAAACAAAACCAGACGGAAAACTTGTAAAAAACTCTTAAAAACTTAATAAATATGAACGTCAAATTTCAAAGCATTTATCAAACATAAACAAAAATTTTTGGTTATACCAGATATCGAAAATTTGGATTGTGGATTATAAAGTGTGAGAAAAATTATTTGTGAATCCATTTTGATGATTTTATTTTATTTTTAATTGAAAAGTTTTGAAAAAAAATCTTGTTGATGAGAATTTTTTTTTCAAAAATAACTTATCTGAAACAACCAGGAAAAACATATGTTTCGACAACTGTAAAAATAAAACATTAAATTTTACTAAAGTAAGAAACCGAAAACGTGAGCATTTTTTCTCATTTTGTTCAAAAAGTATTATCCCAGACGCTTTGCATGCAAAAACTTGATTTAAAAGTATTTTTCAAAATTTTCTTATACCAGACAGGCCTGATATGTCAAAATTAATGCAACTTGTCCAAAACTAAACAATGTTATTTGTCGAATAGTTAAATTTGAAAGTTTTACAAAATTCCTTTACAAAGAAGTTTGGAAAATTTTCAAATAAAGTATTACTTACAATTTCCCGGCGGAACAAAAACCAATTGGTAACGCGGGTGTTATACTCATTTTTCAATAAAACCAATTTAATAAAAAATCCTTCCTTTGCCAAGATTCTTCCTGTATTTACGGTTTACAAAAACAAGAAAAAACGGTAAATCTACAGGCCAGTTTTATAAACTTGGTAAGAGAAAAATGTCAAAATTGCCTAAATTTATTTCGTTAAAAACTAGCATACACCTCTGCTTTGTTTTTGTGGAAATTGTCATTTAATTGATACGTCAAAAATTTTTAAAATAGAATAGTCTTCATTTTTAATTACATATTTCTTTAATCTTTAATGTTAAGTAAAATTATGAAGGTTTAGTTTAGTGTATTCATGTTTAAAACATTGTCATAATTTATACAAAACTGATGTAAATTGAATTCATATTATTTAGCTGCCGTACCAACTACTCTAATCTATATAATATATACACTTGTAGTTGTAATTAAATTTTTGATATAAAAGTCAAAGTTGTTTTAGTATCTAGACAAATTACATTTAAATTATGTTCAAAGTTCAACTAGTAACACAAATATACTATCGTTAAAATAATTTAAGTTTTTGAGTCTAACATACTGTTAGATAAAAAAAATTTTTTGACTTGCTGATATTAGTAAGCAACAACTAAATCTTGCTTAAAATGGCTTCAATAGAGGAAAAGTTTAATGCAGCCGTGAACGTAATTAAAGGATTACCAAAAAATGGTAAGTGTTCAAAACAGTAAAGCTTTAAAAAAAATTGATTTATGCGTATTTGCTTACCTTCCCACGGTCGTTGTTTATCTACGTGTGTTTTGGCTGACTTTGCAAGGTTGAAGAAATACCTTTCATTTTTTACCTAGTCACATAATAAAACAGATATATATGTACATAAATTATGTATTATAAGACTGCAATGTATGCTTTTTGAGGGCTAAGTTGATTTCTTTGTTTAAAATGTTTATATATATATCAGTAATGTTTTGAAACAGCTTGACCTATTTTTAAATTTGAGTTTAACTATGGGTTAACCATTTTAAATACATAAGTACGTATGTACAAATATGTTAATGAAAATGTAATAATTAACATGAATACAAAAAATACAATTTGGAGCTTTAATGTAAAATTTGCTTTATTAATCGTAAAGCAACATTTTATGATTTTAAAAATTGAAAACCTTCAACTAAGTAGATGTTTAGTTGTAAATATGGTATAGCTATGTCTGCCCTATAATTATATTTTTACCATCCTATTATTATGCTTTATTATGGCTATAATTTCTATTTTAAAACTAAATACATTAAAAAATTATTTGAAAATTGTTATATGTACATATATTATTAATATTATAATTACTTTAACGTATTTAAGGTTCCTACCAGCCGAGCAGTGCGATGATGCTAACATTTTACTCGTATTTCAAACAAGCAACACAAGGTCCTTGTAGTCAAAAGAAACCACCTTTTTGGGACGTTATTGGCCGGTAAATTAAAAATTTTTATTTGTTGATTTTTATTATAAACATGACTTTTCATAGAGCTAAATGGGATGCTTGGAATGCTTTGGGGAGTATGTCAAAAGAGCGTGCTATGCATTTATATGTAGATGAACTAAAAAAGATAATAGAGACAATGTCATTTAATGAGAACGTGGCTCAATTTATGGGAAGCATTGATGAGTTAAATAATGTTAATTTCAATGATTTAGAAATTGTTGCTCCAGAAGTAATGAAAAAAGCTAAATCTCATCCAAATTCACCATTTGCTTCAAGAGGTAATAGTCCTCAACATGGTTCACCCCAAAATGGATTTTCTAATGGATTTGATTCTGGTGATGAGGATATAAATGAAAGTAATTCTTATATAAATCAAAATGGTCGTACTGTTGAACAGTCTGATGATGAATATATAGATACTTTAGAAGTAAGTAATACGATATTTCGCTACAAGAAACTAAATTTTTACTAACATGCTCTTTTAATTGTTTGTACCGTGCTTATGTTTCTGTTTAAAGGATGGTGTTGATGTGTCAAGTTCTATAAGTAGATTAAATCATTATCATTCGCAACAAATGAGGAATGTAAGTTCTAAATCGCATTTGTTATCGTAAAGTATTTTCATTTCAATATCTTTTTTAAAACTATTTGCTTCTTTTCTTTTGTTTTCTTGTTGAATGATTTAATATGTACATGTATAACTTTTCGCAACATTATTATAATTTAAAAATATTAAAATATTTTTTTTTCGTTTTGTTCAAGAGTGAAACAATAAATATGCAGTGAATATGCATAAAAAATTAAACTTGAATACAAAGTTTTATGCTTTTTCCTCTTTAAAACCATAGGTCAACGAATCATTACAAAAATTATTTATTTCATTAATTAAATTAAACTAGTTTATTTTGTATAAATTCAGGAAAATTAATTATTTTCATTAAAAAGGTTACAAAAATAATTGTAAATTAATTAACATTTAAAATGTAGCTTCAATTTATCACATACATATTGCAAAAATATGTATGTACATAAAAATTTGACATGAGATTTTATTTCTCAAAAAAATTTTTTTTTGTATACAAAATTGATTTATGCTTTTTGAAGCCATCTTTCAAAATTTATGCTTATGTAAATTTATCTGCTTTTATCTATTTTTTCATTGAATTACATATACATTTTTAGCAACATAATAAATAAAAACATGACAATGATCATATATATATATGATTTTTTTTCATAATTTTAATTAAATTAAACTATATTTTAGCAATTAAATGAAAACGATGGATATGTGGCTCAAGAAAACCATATAATGCATCAAATTTTCAATATAGTGCAAAGGATGAATACAGATTTAACGAATCTAAATCAAAGAATGAGTACACTCGAAAGAAACGTCACTGAATTAAGAAACTTACAAGCAAATCAAAAGGTAAAGCAAATCAAGCAAATTAAAAAATACAAGTAAATCGACAAATAAATTTAAATTTAATTAGCTGATACGTTGTTCGTTCAGAATTTTTTTGTGTAGTTTTCTGAAATATTCATAAAAATCAAAAAAGTTGTCTTGAAAATTTTTGTTACAAATTTATAAAGTACACTCATGTTTATATTATATTTTAAAATTTATACTAGTTAATCTATTAATGCACCGCTTTAAATATTCCTTTTCTATATTTGTACATTTTATGTATTTAGCTGAAATTACATCGAAAATATCCTCATTGGTGGCCATTCAGAGATATATCTCCATTATGGTTTACGATGTTAATTCTTTGGCCGTTTGTTGTTAGAACATTAAATGGAGCCTTGCAGAAACGAAAATAGGAGAAATTAAATATTTAACAATTATATTAAAATAAGAAGAATGGAAAATAATTGTTAATGGTAATAACTATGACACATTATTTTATAACAAAAGTAGATACAACTAAAAATTAGAGAAATAAAAAAAAACAAAGCATACACTACCTACTTATTAATGTAATTTTTTTTTTGCTGAAAAGTTTTAAACATAGATTTTTATAATATAGTATATACATATATAATGTATATTGTTATACAATTTTTTCTTTTTTATAAAATGTGATTTAAATTGGGTTCATATGCAGTATAATTTAATTTTTGTATTAAATTATTTTCTTTGTATGTATATTATGACAAAATTATAATTTTTTTATTTATTTTTTATATTTTTTTGTTATTAGTATTTTATCAACATAATATTATGTATTTACCTATTTAAAATATTGGTTAAGGGATACATAAAAGATATTGTTAGTAGAGTAATAAGTGAATATTATTTATTTTAATTGAAATAAATAATTTTTTGAACAAAAATTTGAACAAAATATAAAATTATTATATTAAGCTAGAAAAAGCTCAAAGGAAAATATTAATAATGTAAATATTAAAATTGATTATATTTTTTATTAAGATTCCATTTCGAATTAAGATTTAATTTTTGTAAGATTCTTTTATCAGAATGGGTGACCAATAAAATATTGATTTATTAGAATTAAAAATTTTATATTGCATGTAATATAGTTTCTATTTGAATTTTTAACAGGAGAAGCCTTTCATAGAATTTTCCGTTAATTGAGTTTATTATTCTGCTTCATTTGCAAATTGAATTTCCTACTGACTGTTTCTAATTGTTTGATTCACAATTTTCATAATTTTTCTCTTTTCGTATTAAATATTTTGAGATCATTGACCTTTTAAATGTTAAGAATATTGAATATGAATATTAATCTTTTAAAATTGAAAAATTGTATAACTTTTTTGAGAAAAAAGGATTACAAAAAATTCTAGAATTTTTAGTCTAACTTCATAGTAAACAGGTTCAGTAAAAAAATGTGGAATTTACTTTATGAAAAGTTTTCTTTGGTAGAAAAACAAAAAATGAAAAAAACTAACAGAATGTGTAGCAATAAGTCACTATAGTATCACTATGTTTTAAATGAACTTTTACTAGATATGGTTAGATTGCTTACATTAAAAAAATTCATACAAAACTTATTATTTTATACGTGCTTACGCATGCAAGTATATTATTTGAGCTTAATTAACTTGCTCTATTTTCATTTACGAATAGTCGTAAAATCTTACATGTGCGGTAGACGAAAACTTATTATAAAGTAATTGCGCTGTTCCATTTATGGATTGTACTTTTCCTTTAATATTTAAACATTAATAGTTCAATATTTTACTATTACAAATTATTTTATTTGGTCTATTATAAAAAATACATATTACAATAAGTCTATTTCAACAGTTATTAAATAAAGCTATTTAACAATAAATAAAAAAAAATAAAATTAAATGTACATATTTAAATATTAGATATTTGAAAAGTTGGTGATCCACAACTTGCAAGTTAAAATTTTTTTTCTGTTTTGGTTTGAATAGCCGTATGTTAATTGTTATTTATTTAAGTTTTTACAATTGAATTTGACTTTTGCTTAATTATCAACTATTTTTATTTAATTAGATCAAAAAAAATACTAGCCAATGTATTGGACATTTTAATAAACATTAACTCTGTTATCAGGTGGCGGTCTATGACACCACCATGATCCCAGTACGCCTAATCCAATAAAGAATACTTCAAATGTTGATAAACCTAAAACAATACCAGTGGTAACATCATGTAATGGTATTCCGGGAAACGGATCTAATGCTAACAAAACCAATAATCCACAGCATTTAAGTAAACAAAATACTGTTAGTAAAATGTAACCAGATATATAACTACGGTTCGGTAACCATTCGCAATGACGTGTACGAAATCCTAATATACCAAGTCCAACTCCAGCGAATGCAGCTGCTAAAGCAAATTCTAAATAAAATGTGCGGCCATTCTAAAAAAAAGTGAATTTAAAAAATTTAATTTTTATTTTTTTAATTAGTTAACGTTTGCTTACATTAGCTATTAAGTACAAACAGAGCCCTGTGTTCATTATACTGCCTAAAGTTAACATTAATGATATTACACCCAATGTAGCAGTTGCATTTGCTACCTTTTGTGGATATGAGGTATTCCATGAAGATTTTGTGCAACTATCTTCATCTTCGTTATCAGTGTTATTAGAATAATTTGCAACACGTGGTGTTATGATAGCTGTAGTCCTAGCTTCATTACCTTTTATTTTTTGATTTTGTTTATTGGATTTATATTGTTGCTCTATTGGTTTAATTTTGTTTGGCTGTTGATATGCGTGGTCATATACTAGTTTTTGAGGATTCAACTCATTTTCTCTAATATGGTTTATATTAAGACGACTGCCATGAACATAAATTTTAGATTGACTTGAATATCTTTTTGAATTTCTTTCTATATCATTTCTACTTATATTATTTGGTGTTAAATTAGAGGTTGGTTTTGGTGTTTTTCTTGGTGTGGACAAGAGTTCATGTAGTCTTCTTGTTGCATCAGGATTTTTTATTGGTGTAGTTGGATAGTTTTCGTTTGCTTTTTGCAGTGGTGTTAATTGTGGAGTTCGTTGCACTGACTGTTGTCTAAATGGGTTTTTTTGTGGTGTTGAGCTTTGTAGTGGTTGGAGTTGTATTGTTTCTTGTGAATTTGGGTAGGTTTGATTTAAATCTGTGTTACTTAAACATGTTTCTTCTTCTTCATCATCATCATCTTCCTCTTCTGTCGGAATAACAGCATATCTATGAACTCGGCCATGGTGCATTTGGATTATCTCATGATTATCATCAACTAAATCTTCATCATCTGCTGTCGGTACCATTGCGTATTTTTGATTATTCTTGTGGTCAACTAAAACAAATGATTTACTTCCAAAATCGCTAGAAAAAGCTGATTTTAGACGAGGTTGCTCTTCACTTATTGTCATAGGTGGTAAACTTGTAAATGTATCTGATTCTTCATTGAATGATGCTGGTTCATCTTTAATTGGTATATGTGCATAACGATCAATATTCTCTTGACTTTTAGCATAACGATATGAATCAGTTCTTTTGATTGAGGACGGTTGTTCTACTATTGACGTAATATTTTTGTTTTGAATCTGTTGTGTTGATGAGCTTGGTATAATAGCATAACGATTTATATTATTACTGTTTGATAATTCCTCAACTGGCACTAGAGCATAACGACCACTTCCAGATCGTGTTGTTGTTTCAAATGCATTTGTTGTGTTATTTATTGTACGATTTAAATTTGTTGGTTTAGGTCCCGGTTTTGGAGGTGTGGAATTATTCGAAAGTATTTGACTACGGTTGATAGCATTTACTTTATTTGAAGATGTTGTTGTATTAAATGAACGCGTCGATACACTCCGTTGAATACGACGTACTCCAATATTACTTATTGTTGTACCATCATTAAGTCCACCATTTACAGATATTAAAGATGTATCTAAACGAAGTTGTGATAATTTATTAGCATGATTTTTATGTTGTTCTGTTAAACTGAGGGTTGGATAAAATTCACTTTGCTGGCAAAATGCAGGATTCGTGTAGTTATGCCTTGTAGACATTTTTTATGTTTGAATATTTTTCTTTTGCATAAAAAAACTAATTTCTGCTTATGTATGAGTTTTTCTGAAAAGAGTTAAAATTTATTCAATTTTAATTTTAGCATAAATTGACGTTATACTTAAGAAATACCAATATTATAATATTTTAAAAAATCTTCAATTTAATTCTAAAGTGCGGTTTGTTTAACTATTAGTTAAATTCATAGCCGCATTTCCTTAAAGTAGTTGGTTTTGTATAATTCTTGGCCTTTAAACATCAATACTATCAAATGTAGAATGTTTTGTATAGTAGGTAAAAATATGTACATTCCATATTATGATTCTTTTGTAATTGAGTAATATTTAGGGTCCTAAAAACTAAACGACAAAATTAATGTACAGTTGGTTTTAAAAAGCAACTTTTTTACATATAAAGAAAATACTGGAAATAAAATTTGCATTTATTTTTAATTAAAAAAAAGTTAGTTTTGGCAACGTTGGATGCTTTTTGGTGTTGTAAATTTGAATTTTATAAGTTTTTCTTTCTTTAATTTAAAATAGAAGCCCCGCTATTAGATATGGATGCATGTTAAGAATACTATTTTCACTGAATGTATTGCATAGAATAAGGGGAGTTTATGTAAAGGCATCAAATTTTGGTGCGTCGGTGGAAATGCATTTCTCCATGCTAGAGAAGTATAAATAAATTAGAGAATATTAGAAAAATGTCTCTCGATCTGTCTGTCGGCTTGTCTGTCAGCCTATCTGAGTTTACTTTGGCTATGTCATAGAATTAGGAAGTGGACCTTTATTATTGTTATTTAAAAAATAAATATTTTAAAAAATTAAAATATTATATAAATATTATATAAAAGGGAACGATCTTATATTTTTTGTCACATTTAAGGAACTAATCGACGGAATTTCTTTAAATATAATGATAGATTCTGTTTGACGAATTTCTCAGGGAATTCGAGGGGCATTTGAAAAATTTTCAATTTTCCAGGTATCTTGACAAGATGTTCCCTTCCTTAAAATTTAAAAGATAAATTTAAGTGCTTAAGGGAAATTTTCATAATGTTATGCAATATTTTCACAAACCAGAAAGTATATTTTGCGGTTAGTATGTGCTGATCACATTAGATTTTTTTCCTTAATTTTAATTTCCATATTTAATTTAAGTACCGAATTTTTAGATCAAATATTGAAATTTTTAGATCAAATATTGGCTCAGAATACTTGATTATAAAATTATATTTCTATAAAATCCAATTTACTCAAATCTTGTTTTATGAATTGATTTTGAATTAATTCTCAATTTGATTTTTAATTTGATTAACTTATGTTCTTTAACATTAAATAGTAAAAATAAATTCGAGCTCAAACATAGCCACTAAAACCGTTTTATTATTATAGTTACATATGTTTTTACAATATATAATAAGTACATGAGCTTCTGGATTATTCATACCATTTCCCGAGAACATATGGTTGAATTTCAAAGTTTACGCGAACGAATAATTGAAATCAACGAATACTAAAAACTTAGCTTCTAATACCGGTTCCCGCGATCTTAATGACATTTATTAAAAAATTAAGAACGAGATTATTTTTTTGCTAATTCACGTAACTTTATTGGCTCAGTTTTTACATTCTCATAAAAAAGGAATATATTAAACTGTTAAAATTGTTATTGTTAATTATGAAAAATAATCCAAAAATTTGGGAAGATCAGTTGAACTTTATTAAGATAAATAGAAAATTAATATTATTTTATAAATAATTACATTTCAGTTTAGTTTTATTTTTGTCAACAGATTCTTTTCTTCGTCATTGTTTTGTTCGCATCCTTTCAAAAATATTTTTATTTTAAATTAATTCATTTATTATTTTATTAAACTTTATTTTTTAACACAATTTTATATATTATTTAATCTTTCAATTTGAGTATTATTTTTAATTTTTTTTCTTAAAAATATTTGCTCGAAATTTTTTAGTTCCTTTTCGATTGAATAGCGCACGCGAACTGAAAATAATGTCTCATGCCAAGAAGAATTTTCCCCCATTGATCTTGTATTAATATTTAAACAATAATTTTTAAGTACGTATCCGTATCTTTACAATCCGTATTAATATTCTTTAATGGAGATAGAGTCATCAGGCCAAAACAGAATTAATAAAGTGAAAAAAGAAAAGCAAAAATATTAACAAAACAATATTAATAAAAAAAAATAATAATATGCTTCTGCTGCCAAGTAGACTCGAAATTGGAAAGAACCAGCAGCAATAACAGAAGAAGAAAAGAAAAAATAAGTCAAAAAGAATAAGAGTAACTAGAAAAAAAAGCAACAATATATTTAACATCTGCTCATGCACCGATGGTTTGTGCCGGCGCGCATTTTTTATATAAAAAAAAAATGAAAATAATTTCATTTTGCGTTTTTTTTTTATTTTTTTTTTATTTGGGGTGAATTAATGTTTCCTCAGCTATACTTATATACATACAAATTTATAAATATTAAACAATTATATAATATACACATACGTACATTATATTTATTTTGTTTATCTTAATATCAAATATATTTACCTACCTTTACGAGTATTAATGTATTTATGTAAATGAAAACAGTAATCTCTTGCTAAAATTGGTGATTTTGTTTTAAATATGCTTATTTCAAGATGCTTACGTAAACTGAAATCTTTCAATTCAGGGCATATTAAGGATGGAAAATAATATTCTTAAATTTCCATTGCGTTCATACTGTTATTCCACAATTATGTGATCTTGTTATAGTTTTCATTCATTTAGAGGAATTTTCAAGTTTAGAGCGACTGGTAATGTAAAATTACGTCACTATGAAGTCAAACTAAATTTCCAAAAACATAATATATACGTATGAATAGTAAGATATTGAGTTAAATTAAACTTCTAAACTGAAGTTACGTTTACGTGAAATTTCAGAACAAAATATATTGTTCTCCTTACAAAGAATGGCATATTAAGGCCTTAGATTGATTTTTTTATAAAAGATGTTTTAAAAATATTATATTCAACTTCAATTTAAGGCACTTTGATCCAATTCAAATTTGGTAAAATCAAGCTGTTTCAATAATAAATTCATCTAAGTTGCATTCTTGTGCCTAATTAAAACCTTTTTTTGTTCGTTTTTGAAAACATTGTTTTAATTTAGGAAAATATGTATTTGGGTAAAGTTTTATTGTTATTTCACTTTCTTAACTAATAATAAGTACCTAAACATGAATTATAGAAGATCAAGAGTAAAAGTTTTAAAATCAGTGATACACATATTATAGGATTGCTTTACTCCATATCTTCATCTGCACTAAAATATTTTTGTTCTGCTCTGATTGTAAGCCATTTTAATTACCGTTATGAAGTAATCAAAAATAAACTACAAAAATAACTTATGTCGAGAGTTTACTGTATTTATACTAAAAAATTTTCCTTACTGATTTTCACATATTATCTTTAATAATTTTAGCATAGAATTACATAGGCAGCAGATCAACTTCAACATAAAAACATATTTAGACAACAGCTTGTTTTCTGTTATATACCTACATGAAAATTCGGTTTTTAGGGAGAGTAAATATAAAAAATTTTTTTTTCCTGTTCTTTTAATTTTAAACGAATTTATTCATTTTTTTTATTGTTAATTCGATGACAAAAACTACCACCACCAACCAACCACCATTTACCAGCAGAAGAACTCCTTTGAATTTAAATTCTAGGTATATAATAGTATTATTGTTATTAAAATTTTTTCCGTTACAAAAATCAGTATTATATAAAAATGAAGGGGGACGACGAGGTATTAATTTTATTCGTGTATCACATGTATATATATGTATGTATGGGTGAATTTTATATCATAAAATGTTTTGTATAAAGTGTACATATGAATGTATGTATGTACGAATTCAAATATAGAAGTATTAGTTTAGCATAGTTGTTTAGTAAAAATTTTAATATTAAGAAAAAATATCTATATAAAAATATAATAACAAAAAAAATGAAAAAGTCTTAGATTAACAACAGTTGGGTCCCATATTTTTATTGTGTTAACATTGCTGTCATTGTAATTTGGTAATTTTCATTTTTGCCAATAAACAAAATATTAAACTATAAATATCGTGCTCCGTTCATAACGCATATCGTGGAATATCATTTTTCTTTTCTTCTGATTGAGAAGAGCGAAGGCCTCTATTCGTTCTTTCCAATTAAGAATATCCTTTTTGAAGATGATCTTCCTTTGTTTTCATAAATTATCGCCAAAAAATTTAAAAGAAAGTTTCTTTCTAGAAGATAATATTCAATCGCTAAAAATTTAGGAAGAGTGAGACCAACATATAAGTGTCAATTACAACAGATACTAAACATACACCAGTTCCCACCGTAAGAGCATCATATAAGTATCAGTATGGAAAATTGTATTGTTAATCCTGCACGTGGTATTCAAATTGCTTATTAAGGATTTCTTTATTTAACATTAGAATTTCATGATCTTTCATTTCTTTGGTAATGTGATTTCTTAAAATATTTCTGTCCAAAAGAATCATATAAGCGAGTTTCAACTTAATTACTTATCAAATTAAAATTTTTTTTCCTATAGTTGTTAGATATTAAATTATATTACTTATGTTTAGATATGTATGTACGTATATTATGATTTTTGGTTTTAGTTATGTTACGATCTAATTATTAACGTTAAGAATATGTTTTTAATGGAAAATGATTGTATGTATTTACAAAAATAATAGACGAACTTAGAGTATTCATTTTGCTAGGGTGACAAAGAATAAGGTAATTTGGAAATTTTTTGAAAAGCATATAAAAAAGAGAAAAGGGAATTATTTTTTATATGTACGTATATAGAAGTTGAAGTTTTGAGCATTTTTATAAAAATATGAGGTCTAAAATAAGAATTCCAACGAATTTTAGTGAAAGAGAAGGAATTATTGCAGTGGTGCAGTTTAGGTCAGTAGATAATAATCTTTAATTTTGCATCTTTCTTATTTTTCTCATTAACTGTCTTAACCAAATAAAAAATATTCAATGGAAAACTCGAAAAAAATATTCAATGGAAAACTCGAAATTATGTCGAATGTATAAATTTCAGTTAAATTTAGACAAGTTCAACTGGATTGTATTCCTATACATACATACATAATTGTTGAATGTATTCTCTTAATATGAAATTATTGCGGCAATAATTATCAAGAACATATTTTATCAAATACATGTTTTTGGAGGGTGATATTTTTAATAAAATTTTTCATTTTAAGAAACAAGTCTTTTCTTTTTAAGTTTAATTAAAATTCCATTTCTTTAGCTAAAATATTAATGCATATTCCTTTGTAACTTTAAAAATAATATTTACGGTCATTGGTTTTTTTTATTGTGCATATACATATGTGTACATATATACGTACTTATATCATACATTTCAAATTTTTTTGTATATTCGTACTGCTTATAAGGGTGAATTTAGTGAAGGGTGCTTATTCAATAGTACAATATATAATTGCATTTGTAAATAAATAGTGTAAAAACCTTTTTGTATATTGCACACATTTACAGTTTATATAGTAAATAATGCATAAGAAAATCGTCAACGGAAATTATAACCGTCATTTCGGTATTTTGAACACAAACATACATATCTAAATATGTATATGTGAATTTGACACATCTATTAAAAAGTCTATGCCATTTTGGAATCTATTTTAAGAAAACTAGTGAAGATATTTTTTTTTCATTTTTCTAAATTTTTAATAAATCGAAAAATTAGGGGAAAAATTATTCGAAATTATTTAAAATGACTGCAAAATTTTATATCTGGGTTCTTAAGAATTTTTATAATATTGGCGATTGGTAGAAGTTTCTAAAATTGTATTTGCAAGGAGAGCATTTATGTAATAGACTTTTTTAGTAACTTTCATATACTACGTTAACATGTGCATGTATGTTACTTTACGATATTTTTGAAAATTCTGTAAATCTATATCAACTCAATTAATTTTTCTATTTCATGAAGTTTCATTTAAGTTAGTTAACTGTTGTAGTCTAATGAAATTTCATTTTCAATGAATAAAATCAGGTAAAGAAAGTAAAAGATTTATATTCATTTCGAATTGCAAAAAAATACTGTCAATTTTATTAATTATAGAAAGTGGCTACAGCTAACATTTGCTTTGTATGCAGATATTTTGCTCATACAAATACCTTATTGCAAGTTGTAAGTTTTCTTGAAACACTATTTCCATAACCTTAAGTTAGCTCACGAGTACTTATAATTTAAATTCGTACTGTAAAAACTACTCAAATAAAATTCTAATATTTCAATATGCATAACGTACATACCTAGTTTTAATAATACTATACTATTTTACTAATATACTATATTTACTATATACTATTTTACTAAAAGCGCAATTATTGAAATTGTAAGCTTATTGAAATTAAATGCTACGTACTTGGAAAACTCAATATGTTTATTTTAATGTTGCTTACAGTTTATGGTCAAAAAGAGTATTGAAAATTAAAAAAATTAAAAAAAATGACAAGAAATTGGAAATCATGTTGGACCACGGCAGACAGAGATACCGATATTTTTGACCGATGATTGATAAACCGATTGGTTGATGAAAGAATTTAAACAAACTATAGGATGAATGTTTATGATGTCAAACTAAACACTTTTACTGGAACTATATAATAAGGATTCTCTATGAATCCTTAGCAATTGAATTTTCATATACAGGAATACAAAGAAGGTGTTTGGTTCACATTTGAAAACTCAAATTTTTAATATACACCCAAACCAATGTGCACATACATGTGCGTATACTACAATAAAATAGTTTTAATTGTGTAAAAATGCCATCAGGTGAAAT